AGGTAATGTTCTTTTGCTTTAAAGTATAATTTGTTATTAGTATAATCATATTAATTTTCTTTTGATTAGTATTGGCATATCATATATTTCCCATGCTTTTACTGGTAAAATTTCTGTATCATTATGTTCTAATTGTGTCCTTATAAATAACATATAGTTTGAATTTGTATTTTTTTAATCTGATGATGTTTGCCTTTTAATTGAATCATTTAGTTCATTTATATTTAATGAATTATTGATTGGTGATGTGTTTAATCTGTCATTGTACTTCTGTCTTTCCTAACCATTCTTTGTTTCTTTTTCTCCTCTTTCTTGCATTCTTTTGGATTGACTGAATATATTTTAAATCATTTTTCCTCTTCTCTACTACACTGAGTCATAGTGACCTTCTCTGGAGATTTGTTTTTCTTTATCCTTCACGTTTCCTGATTCTTTTTTTTTTTTTAAATTAGTTAGCCATATAACCAGAGATTCTTAATAAAACATCCTGGAAATTGCCTAACTTCTTTGACAGTTGAAGGATTCAAGTCAATTGCTTTTTCACCTTTTGTTCTTGCTTTATCCAAACTCTTCAGCACCTCCCTTTCTAATTTCCTCTTTTGCTAGTCCTGTTAGCTAATATAGTGACTCAAAGTAAATATCTCAAAGGCATAGAGTTTTCCAGAAGACTTTGTTATTACTCAGGTCAAAAATATTGATCATTGCATATGTCATAGCAGCCATGGCATAATGAAACAATGCCAGTTAACCAGAGTTAATGGAGAAGAATCCTCACCCAGACCAGCCTACAGTGGTATCAAGCTATTTTCCTCATTTTTAATCTTTATTCTTTAATTGTTTTATATCTAGATAAAAGATAGCTAGCTATATTTATCATTTATTACCATCAAAGTTTGTCCTGATGGTATACATTTTCTTCTTATGATAGTGATATTATTTCATGGAATCAAAGAGATTTAGAACAATTGCTTGGGGTGGCCAAGTTTGGGCCATAGCATAGTCATATAGCCTGTGAAACTGCACAACCCTTGGGGTTGCCGTTTACATCAGAGTCCACAACTGTAAAATGTGGCCATGGGACAAGATGAATTTGGGATAAATCTTTATAAGTGTTTGTCTAGGTCAAGGTCTAGATTTTTCTGTTTAAGTGCTAGCGAATGGTTTTCTCTGTAATTGATGCTATCTCACCAGCCATCTTTAGCACCTTGAAAATTTGCTGAGAACCGGTGGTTATTCACGTCATCTTTGTTGATGACCTAGATAGCTTTGAACTAACCCATTCTGTACCAGAAAATGAAGAAATATTCCAGTTGAAAAGATAAAAATGACTTTTATGCATAATGAGTAAGGTTTTCAAAACCCACAGATTTCCCTCTTTAATCAGTGACTCTAGAGACCTTATGACCTAGCAGAAGGCAATAGGAGCTACATGATTTCAAATCCACCAAACTTCTTCTATTAGCAAATATATATTCACCCCAAGGAAGCATATTCCAGGACTGACAATTGAAAACAGTCTTTTCAGTGGCACCCAGTCTGTAGTAAGTTTTTCTTGATCCATATTCTCTTTTTTAAGATGATTGTTGGAATTCATTCTAGCCTTTCCTGCCCTCATTTCGGAGTTGAGTACATGCTTTCTTCAGTGAAAAGGCGTTTATTTTGATCAGAGGCCCAAGTCCCAGTACATAATAACCAGTCACTATGTACCATGACTAATCTAACTTTGACTGTATCTTGTACACACCTAGGTCCTGCCCTAGGAGTTGGTAAAGCTAAAGAATGAGTTTGCAGAAGTGCTGAAGTTGTATAATAGCATTCTGAATTTGTTGATCCATTCCATCTGATGGGCTCAAGACAGTTTACTTACAAGGGGACAGTTTCTCAGGAGGCTGGCACAGTGGCCTGATAGAAAGAGTAGGTGTCTCACCAAGCAGCTGAACGGCCTTGACCCAGCCTCTGGCGTATGCTGGGCCTCTCTACATCTGTAGAATGAGGCTTTGAGGATGGGTGAATTCTGACTTCTTTTCCAGAAATAAACTGCTCTGATACTCTTCCCAGAGCTAAAATTAGATACTAGAGTTCAGAAACTTAAAAAATGTATTAATTTTTAAACTGTCAATTGAAACTTTTTATGACATACATATAGGTGTACAACTCAGTGAATTTTGCGAACTGAACACATCCATGTAACTGGCACACAGGTCAAGAAACTGAATATTACCTGCACCTCAGAAGCCCCCTTGTGCCCATTTCTACTTATTACTCCCCACTCCCTCCCACAGGATAACCACTCTCCTGACTCTTCACCCCATCGATTAGTTTTGCCTGCTTTTGTTCTTCATATGAATGGAATCATATACAATATGCATTCTTTTATGGCTGGCTTCTTTGGCTAACATTATGTTTCTGAGATTCATCGATACTGTTGTATGTAGCTGTAGCAGACACTTAAATTTTTCTTTCCTCAAGAGGGACATTGATATATCTTTGCATGTTATGTGAACATTCTCATTTGAGTGACTCATTTGGGAGGATCAATAATATGCATTGTGAACAGAGAGGATAAAAGTGTTGAAGGGGAGGACAAATCAGGCATTTTATAATTTATTTACATATTATTGGATTACTACTATATATTAGTTAAAAAATGTAAGCCCTCTTGAAGGAGAAGGATTTACTTGGTGTCTTGGTTGAAGACATGATAATGCCATGTCCAAGGAAAGAATCACTCCTCTGGAACTGGTGATGACTGTTAAATTACTGGATTCTTAAAGATTGCCAGCTTTTCTGTGAGGCTGAGAAACCATGGTGTAGCTCCTTCTTTTCCGTGCCCTCATCCCCTTAATGCCTGCTCTGCCTTATTCTGGACATAAAACCAGTTGCCATCAAGTCAGTTTCAACTCACGGCAACCCCAAGTGTGTCAGAGTAGAACTGTGTTCCATAGAGTTTTCAATGGCTGATTTTTCCAATGTAGATTGCCAGACCTTTTTTCCAGGGCGCCTCTGGGTGGACTCAAACCACCAACCTTTCGGTTAGCCGAGCATGTTAACCATTTGTATCACCCAGGGATTCACTCTGGACATACTAGGTGCAAAATAAATCTTTGCTGAATGAATGAGTGAAGAGTACAGCTAACATTTATAGTGCATTCACAGTGCCAATCACTGTGCAAAGATCTCTTGTTTAATCACCACAGAAACACTATTGGGTTGGTGCTGTGATCACAATTTGCTAGATGGGAAAGTTGACCATTGGAAATAACTTGTCCAGAATCATCTAGACATTTGCTTGGCAGAGCCAGGACCGTGACCCCATGCTCTTTAGTCTTCACCACTGTGCACATACATTCTCTGGGGCTTGCAGAGGCTGCGGTGGTGGTTGGATTCACAGGTGCCCTGTGGGCAAGAGCTTTGCCAATTGAGAACACATAGCCTGGTTTGTCCTGGCCACTTCCCCTCCGGCTGTGCCTGCTCGGTGGGCTCTCACTGCCCCCCTGCTCTGCCTGAGCCCATGGGTGGGCTGTGATTTTTTTGGCTGGCTTCTTCCTCACTCAGCGTCCCATGCTGACTGCCCATCAAGAGGTCACATTGTCCAACTCTTTAACCAGAAGAGGAACAGAAGCGGTCTTACATTTGCTGAACATTTGCCACTTCTGTGTGCCACGCTCTCCCCAGCCCCTGTCCCACCGCCGCCACATATATTTCATCTGGTTAACACCTCTTTAAACCTCAGATCTTATTTGCTACCTACTGGCCCTCAAGAAATATTTGTTGGATGAATGAATACATGGATGGTAAATGAGGCTCTTAGATTCACCGCTGATATAAGCTTTGCGTTTTAAAAAATGTTGACTCTTTGCCTTCCTGACTACTGAAAATGCAAACAATGATAATTAAATAATATGCAATAAAAAAGAAATGCAGTGTACCCGTCCTTTTACAGTAAAAGACATAAATAAACTAAAAAAAAAAAAAAAAAAAAACCAAACAAACCAGTTGCCATTGATTCCAACTCATGGCAACTCCATGTGCTTCAGGGACTACCCAGGAACTCTAAGACATAAATAACCCAAAAGCCAAAACCCATTGATGTCGAATCAATTCTGACTCATAGTGACCCTATAGGACAGAGTAGAACTGCCCCCATAGACTATCCAAGGAGCAGCTGGTGAATTTGAACTGCCGACCTTTTGGTTAGCAGCTGAGCTCTTAACTACTGCACCACCAGGGCTCCAATACATAAATAGGGGTGGATTGTTTATCAGATTCTAAGACCCATTCTGATTCTTAGCATAGTCTTTAATTAGCCTTTGATAGTGGTAATAATTATGTATGTACCATTTTATGGTTTTGATTTTTTCTCTTGATATTTCACATGTATTGATGTTTTCCATAAATCCACATGAACTACCTTGCTTATCATTTTAAGCATAATATCCCACTGGGTTGCTGTTGTTAGCTGCTGTGAAGTTGGCCCCTGACTCATGGTGACTTCCTACACAATGGAACGAAATGTCACTCGGTCCTATGTCATACCCATGATTGGTTATGGATTTGACTGTTGTGATCCTTAGGGTTTTCATTGGCTGGTTTTTGGAAGTAGATTGTCAGGCGTCTCCTCCTAGTCCATCTTAGTCTGGAAGCTCTGCTGAAATCTGTTCAGCATCATAGCAACATGCAAGCCTCCACTGACAGATGGGTGGTGGCTGCACAGGAGGTGCATTGGCTGGGAATTGAACCGGGTTCTCCTGCAGGAAAGGCGAGAATTATACCACCGAACCACCACTGCCTCATTCCCACTGGGTTACCCTCCCATAATAAACCTATGTCTTGCTTTTTGTAGTCAGTGTCCACCTGGCATTGCTGATTTGCTGGAACCATGGTAATTTAAAGGAAGCAGGATTATAGGTTGTCTTGGTTGAAGAACTGACCTTTTGGGTATTGCTGTGTCTTGATTATGACAGCTGTAATGATCTGTTTTCCCCTGACTTTGTTCCAGGATGTTCTTCTCTGGCGGGCAGTACAGCCATGTTGGCAGACCTGAAGAACTTTTACTGACGTTCAGGATATTCCTTGTCATCATCTGTCTTCATGTTGTCCTGGTTACATCCCTGGAAAGTAAGATGCCTGTTTTCCTTTAATTTTTTTTCTGTCTATCTGTGTGTTTATTTTTAACAGTATCTACTTGAAGGCTAACTTCTGCATGGAATTCTAAGGGAGATAGAGAATCAGCCAAATGAAACAGAGTGGTTTTCACGAAAAGGGATCTTTGGAAGATTATGAAACAAGGAGAAAAGATTCCCGAGGAAGGCAATAACAAATCCAGCAATACTGGGGCTGCAATATCTATGGATGCAATTTCCAGAAGAATACAGTGCAATGCAAATGTAAAGAATCGTCATTAGGAATGTGACCGGGACATAAATGTTATTTAAGGAGACATGATTAAGGACACACAGTGAAATACCTTCCTTATTCAGAAGAGGGTTGCAGGACCAAGGAATCTTCATTGGATAAAACAAAAATCTACTAGCAGCAGACAAACAAAACACACGTGTGTATGTGCCTGCACACATACAGTGGAACTGGGGCGTATTGTCAAGAAGCCAAAAAACCAAACCTGTTGCCTTCGAGTTGATTCCGACTCATAGCGACCCTATAGGACAGAGTAGAACTGCCCCATAGGGTTTCCAAGGCTGTAATCTTTATGGAAGCAGACTACCATATCTTTCTCCCATGGAGCAGCTGGTGGGTTTGAACTGCTGACCTTTTGGTTACCAGTCAAGCACTTAGCCACTGTGCCACCAGGGCTCCTTGTCAAGAAGCCAGCACAGTTAAAAAAAAAAAAAGAAATAAGAGCTGAACGTGCACTGACTGCTTACAATGCCCAAGTCCCTAAGTGCTTTACACATGTCCCTTCTCTTAATCTCTCAATCTAGTCTGTGAAGGGGCCATCCTATTCTTATCCCCATTTTCCAGATCAGGAAACTGAGGCTTAGCCCCTAAGAAGTAGCTGAGCTGGTATTCGAACCCAGTGTTTGGCTCTGGAGTCTATGCTCCTAACCACAAAACCAGGTTCTCACCCTTGCGCATGCGTCAGAATCCCCTAGAGAGCTTCTTAAGACACAAATGGCTGGGTTCTTCCCCCAGAGTGTCTGTTCAGCAGGTCTGGGGTGGGATCTGAGAACTGGCATTTCTAACAAGCTCCCAGGTGGTGCCGATGCTGATGCAGGTGCTTCAGGGCCTATACTTTAAGAACCACTGCCTACACAACTGGCAGAAGATGGAAGTAGGGACAGAAGACTCCTCCAAATTCTTTTGTTGGGGCCATGCGACGTTCATATAAACTGTGCTCACACACATCATTTTCTTGGGGAATTCAAACATCACTGTGGGACTGGCAGGGCAAAAATCAAGCATCCTCGCTTTACTGACGAGGAAATGTCCCCAGGAACATCACTGGTTAGGAAGTGGCAGAGCCCAGACTTAGATGCTCGATCTTCGTTCTCACGTTTCGGTGCTTTTTCCACCACAGGGGTAGATGAGGCAGGAAAGTGCAACACAAGCGAAAAACTTCATCAAAATGAGAGCTGCTTGTTAGGAATAAGTCTGTTAGAAAAGCTCCATTTAAAAGTGATGAAAACAGCGCCAGGTAAACAGGACAGTGAGTGGCTCTGAAGCAGACCTTAAAAACCTGTGTGGTTATTCAAGGCAGCCGAGTGTATTTTTTTGTTCTGGCTGTCTAATGAATTGATTTTTTTTTCCCCAGAAGAAAGTTTTTTATTGAGGCAAATATATATAACATTTGTCAATCTGACAGTTTTTACATGTTTAGTTCAGTGACATTGATTATGTTCATCATGTTATACAACCATCACCACTATCCTTTTCCAAATTCTTCCATCACCATTAACAGAAACTCAGTGTCTCCTAAGCAATGACTCCGCCTTCCCCCTCCCTCCCACCCTTGATAACCACTAATAAACTTTGGTCTCTATCCTGCTGCTGTCGAGTCGATTCTGACTCATAGTGACCGTATAGGACAGAGTAGAACTGCCCCATAGAGTTTTGGTCTCTATACCTTTGCCTCTTTCCTATAAGTGGGATCATACAACATTTGTCCTTTTGTGACTGACTTATTTCACTCAGCATAATGTTTTCGAGGTTCATCCATGTTATAGTATGTACCGGGACTTCATTTCTCTTTATGGCTAACTAATATTCCATTGTATATATATACCACTTTTTTTTTTTTCCATTCATTTGTTGATGGGCATTTTGATCGTTTCCACCTTTTGGCTGTTGTGAACAGTGCCGCAGGTGAACGTTGGAGTACAGCTTTTTGTTTGCGTTCCTGCTTTCCGAATTGCTTCATTAAAGCAGTGGTTTTCAAAGTATGGCCCACTGACCAGCAGCGTCAGCATCACCTGGGAGCTTGTTCGAAATGCAGATTCTTGGGCCCCATCCCAGACCAATTGAATCAGACACTCCAGGGGTGGGGCCAAATCTGTGTTTTCACAAGCCCTCCAGGTGATGCTGATGGACACTGAAGTATGAGAGCCACTGTCTTTAAAGAATTGGCCAAAACAGTGAGGGATGGGAGTTAGTGTTTGAATATGCCAGCTTCCTCATCTCTCAGTGGGACAATGCTGAGATGTGTTCTGCATTGTCTCCTAGAGTTCCCCAGCTGGATTGAGCCCATTGCTCCTAGTAGTAACCTGTTCATTAATGTACCTGTTATTGGTCTTCCTCTCTTCCCTGGCTCACTTCCCCACTCCCTCCCTGTGCTTCCTGGGGTCCTCTCCGTTTGGAAACACGCTCCTCTTCCAAGGCCCAGCCAAATATTCACTACCTCTATAAACCCTGCCCTGACCTCCTCAGAAGAATTAAATCTCTCTCCTCAGTGCTCCCTTTTCTCTTCATCCATACCTTTTTATACTTGTCACTTTGTGTCATGGTTCATTTTGTACTTCCTTTACATCATGAGTCCTTTGAGTGCATGGTCAGTGTTGGGTGAGAAGGGAGACTGAAGAACTGGTGAGATGGGTGGGGTGTGAAGGAAACTTAACGATTCCTGAGAGCCCGGTCTGGGCCAGTCCATTCTAGGTGCTTTATGTACATTATCTCGTTTACTCCTCACACAAGCTCTTCAAAGTAGGCATGTTTTAGTCTCAGTTTTCAGAGGAAGAAACTGAATCTCAAAGAGATAAAGTAATTTGCTCAAAGTCACACAGCTGGGAAATGGGTGAGTTAGGATTTGAACCTGCCCCCGTTGGCATCTGTAGCCTGTACTGTTTACATTACACTAGACTGCCCAGGGCACCTTCAGTTAGTGTCTGAGGACTGAATGAGTGTGTCTGTGAGGCACAGGGAGATGGTGGAGAGGGAGCCCAAGGGAAGCCGTTGGAGAGCAGCCACTTTTGCTGGCTCTGGAGGATCTGGACTTGTAAACACAGTAGCTTCACCTTGGAAGCCTGAGAGATGACTCAGCAGCTCTTGACAGAAGGGAGAGGTGGGCTGGACACTCTCTTGTTAGGCCTCTGGCCAGAGAAAGCATCCCTAAATCTTAACACTTTCAGTTGGGTAATTTAGTGACGTTTGAGGGCGTTATTATTCTTGGTCTACCAGAAGCCTAAATGGACTTTGGCAGGTAATTATGCTCACTTCTAGCTTCTAACTCTCCTGGGCCACACGCCAGTGCCTTTTGTTTTGCCTTGTTTTGTCTTCGAAGGAGGTCTTCTTTTAGGTACAACTATTCTGTTTTCCAGAGGATGAGATGACATAATAGTAGAAGATGGTTATAATTTTATTCTTGCACAGTTGTCTTCCCCATTTGGAAACAATTACACATTTCAGCCAGTTTGGTGATCTCATGAGCTGTAATCTCCAACTTACTCTCTCTCTGGGCTGGGCCTAGATCTTTCTGTACTGTAGGCATTTCCAGTGATAGATCCCTTTGCATTCCCCCTTCTCCAAGGCCTTGCTGTCTTCTTTCCTCTTTCCCTCTCGTGCTTCATCCCCCTGAGTCTTTGTTCTTCCTGGTGCAGAGACATTGGAACTGCAGGAGTAGACTGAATGTTCCTAAAAGGCAGGGAACCTGTCGTATTTGACTTTGTCCTCCAACCCAAATCCAGTGCTGTTCTCTTTCTTCCCTCTCAACAGCTGTCTTTAAAAATGAGATTATAAATACTTACCATGGTATTGTTCTGATGCTCAGCCAGCGTTCCACCCCCCTCCCCCCACGACCAAGTCTCACTCTCCACACACGGGTATGAGGTCAGCTATCAGGTCCCTGGCTCCTTACCTGGGGTTGCAACCCCGGCAGGTGGAGGTGGTGACGAGGAGTGATAGAGACTCCAGGTAGGTTGAGGGGGAAGCTGAAAGCAGAGGATACATTGTGTCCCACTTTCCACTTGGTACCCCAGATGAGAACTCTTCACAGGGGCCTGTATATCAACACATGGGAATGATAGAGATGAGAAATGGTGGCCCAGGTGTTTAAGCAGAGAAAAAGCCAGAGATGATGTCCCCTCCAAGTCGCTCTCAGCTCCTTTGTGGCCTGGTAGAGATACTAAATTGCCTTTATGTTCCTGGTGGGTAGTTGTGTTGAGAGCCAGGGACTGGGACAGGGCTGCCATGGCGAAAATGATGCCTCAGCAAAGACTGTGGCATGGACAACCTAGACCAGAGGCCAGGTGGAAGATGTGACAGATACTCAGTGGTGAGAGCTAAGGGGAGCTGGGTGGACCTTCAGGCCTGGGTGGGATACTGAGAGAATAGACCAAGGGTCTGACTGGACACAGCCTTCAGCAGCAATGCCAGCCAGATACCCAGGAACCCCACAGGGTGAGGGAGGTCTCTGGGGAGGCCATTGAGAAAGCAGAGCTCACCTTGGATGAAGTCACAGACCAGGCCTTTTCTCCCTGCTGCCAGAAGGACACTAACACCTCATTCCCCAACCTGGACGCCATCTTGACTACTAGAAGGAAGAGGGGGGGAAAAACAAGGTCAGACATGTATCCGAAAGAAGCTAAGTTAACCAGAGATCGTTTTAGAGCAAAAGAGATAGAGCTCCCTTAAACCATCAGATTTAAGGATTCCTCTGGTGACATGGAAAC